GAATCCATTTGGGCAGTGTGGGCATGGGGGAGGGGGGCAGAGAGTGGGTGGGGGCTTCAGGTGGGCCAGGTGAAGTAATGAGGCACCCTGGCGGGTTTCAGGTAGTCCAGAGATCAGATCTTTCCTGAGCCTCTGTGATTGGCCAGGCCGGAGGCACGTACCGGGGAACAAGACTAACCCGACACTGTTCCCTTCGGGGGTCACGCAGTCCAGTGATGCTGTTTCGATGACTCAGATTTCCGTGATTTGATAAGTGTGGCACGTTCACTCAGTGCTAGGCGCTGCTCTTAAGTCTCTCTTTTTTTTTGTATGGTAAAATAAACACATTAAATTGGCCATCTTGACCGTTTTTCACCATACAGTTCAGTGGCATGAAGTACATTCAGTGTTGAGCAGCCACCCCCACCATCTGTCTCCAGAACCTTCCATCTCCCCAAACTGTCCCCACGAAACACGGACTCCCCTGCCCCTGCACCACCCTCCCGGCTCCCACCATCTATCTACCTTCTGTCTCTGTGGATGGAACTCCTCTCAGGACCTGGGGACCTCGTGTGAGTGGGATCTTACGGTATGTGTATCTTTTGTGTCTGACTTATTTCACTGAGCATAAGGCCTTCGAGGTCCGTCCACATCGTAGCAGGTGTTAGAATTCCCTTTTTGACAAAAGGCTGAGTGATAATAGTGCATCGTATGGATATTCATTCCTCTTCCTGTTTGTCCATTCATCCATCGACGGACACCAGGATGGCTTCCACTTGTTGGCCATTGTGGATAACGCGGCCGTGAACATGGATGTACAGATACGTGTTCGGGTCCCTGCTCTCAATCCTTTCAGGTACATGCCCAGAAATGCAACTGCTTGGGTCTATGGTGATTCTGTGCTTAATTTTGTGAAGAACTGTATCAACCTAAATAAATTGTGACATAAAAGACAAGAACACTCCAGGGGCGCCTGGGTGGCTCAGTCGGTTGAGCGCCCTACTTCAGCTCAGGTCATGGTATCACACTCCGTGAGTTCGAGCCCCACACCGGGCTCTGTGCTGACAGCTCAGAGCCTGGAGCCCGCTTCCGCTTCTGTGGCTCCCCCCTCTCTCCGCCCCTCCCCTGCTTATGCTCTGTCTCTCTCTGTCTCAAAAATAAAAACATTAAAAAAAAAACTTAAAAAAAAAAAAGACGAGAACATTCCACACAATGTGAGTCTTTGACATGTCATGGTATTCATAATGACCCTAGGAGGTGGGCATAGCTTACTAGCCCTGATTTAGAGATGAGAAACAGAAGCAAGGGACTTGCCCTGGGTCCCACAACTAGTAAGAAGCAAACAACTTTTAACCTCAGAGCTGTTGGTAACCACTAAGCTATGAGACCTCACCCAGTGTTTATTGAGTGCCTACCAGGGGCCAGAAAGCCCTAACAAATGGAGAAAATGCCCGAGAGAAAAGACGGGGAAGAATTTTTTTTTTTACATTAAGGAGATTTTATTACAAAATATTTTTGTTTGTTTGTTGGTTTGAGAAAGAGAGAGAGCGGGGCGCCTGGGTGGCTCAGTCGGTTAAGCGTCCGGCTTCTGCTCAGGTCATGATCTCGTGGTCCGTGAGTTCAAGCCCCGCGTCGGGCTCTGTGCTGACAGCTCGGAGCCTGGAGCCTGCTTTGGATTCTGTGTCTCCCTCTCTCTCTGCCCCTCCCCCACTCATGCTCTGTCTCTCAAAAATAAATAAACATTAAAAAAATTTTTTTAATAAAAAAGAGAGCAAGCAGGGGAGGGACAGAGAGAGAGAGAGAGAGAGAGAGAGAGAATCCCAAGCAGGCTCTGTGCTATCAGCTCAAACTGTGAGATCATGGCCTGAGCTGAAATCAAGACTTGGATGCTTAACCCACTGAGCCACCCAGATGCCCCACAAAAGATTTGAAACACATAAAAGTGGAGAGAATAGTCTAAAGAACCCCTATCAGCCCATCACCCAACTTCAGCCAATCTGGTTTCACCCTATTCTCTTCCTGTGTGCCAATTCCAGACACATTCCAGCCTTAAATATTTCAGTACCTCTCTCTAAAATACAAAGACTTGTGCCTGGGTGGCTAAATTAGTTAAATGTCTGACTCTTGATTTTGGCTCAGTGAGTGATCTCATGGTCATGGGATCCAGCCCTGTGTGAAGTCCCAGGTGGGGCTCTGCACTGGCGGTGTGGAGCCTCTTGGGATCTCTCTCTCTCTCCTTCTCTCTCTCTCTCTCCGACCCTTTCCTGCTCGCATGCATGCACATGCACTCTCTCTCATAAAATAATTAAATTATATTAAATTAAGTTAAAACTTGTATTGTGGTCACTCCGTCTGAATTTTGCTGGTAGCATCCCTGTGATCTCTCCCTTTTTGTTTTTTAAAAATTTGAGATAAAGTTCACCCAACCTAAACCTCTCCGTTCGAAGCATTTAAAAATGCACATCCAGTGGTTTCGAGTATATGCACAAGGTTGTGCAAACATCATCACACTCTACAACGGAATTATTTTCACCACTCCACAAAGAAACCCCGTACCCATTAAGCAGTTTCTCCCCATTTCCCCTTCCTTCCCCAGTCTCTGGCAACCACCAATCTTCTTTTTGTCTCTAGGGACCTCTAGGGTGTCATTTAACATGTCCCTTTGTCCCCTGCATTTCCTGTAAATTAATAGATGTGGAGTGTGATCAGATTTGGGACTGGGCACTTCGGAGGTGATGTGGGCACGCGCTAGGAGGCAGATGATGTCAGCATGTCTCATTTGTGGCGCGTGTCTCCTTTGTAGCTGCTGCAAAGTATCGCTTAGGTTCACAATCCATTAGGGTTACAGAATGGCGATATTCGAAATCTAGCCTTCCTCACTTATTTCTAGAATACATCTGTAAAGAGAAGTTTCCCTTCACCTACGTAGTTACCCTGAGGTGTGGATTGTATGGGGCAGCATAAATTCTTCATTCTTTGTCTGCTTTGGAATTTCGTAATTTTCGAGATTTTGGATACCAACTCAAAGGCTTCCCAAGAAGCCTTCAGTCACTGTTGCGTTGTTTTTGTTTTTGTTTTTTTAGTTAACGTGCATGAATTTAACTCCTTGGTTGGAGCCACGCTTTCAACCAGTGTGCCCAATGGGGGTGGAATTGAGTAGGAGGTATATATCTGGGACTGAGTCTTGACCAGTGCATCTAGGAGTTGGGCTATACATGGGGTGGGGGAGTGTAGAAGAGTAGATGTACTGGGGATCATGAGACATAGGTTTCTCAGTCAGAGGAGGAAGTTAGAAATATGCAAAGTGTCTGGGATAAAGTTTGGTGTTAGGTTAGAATTAAAGGGATGGGTGTGCACTCGTGGTTTTAAAGATGGATGGATGGATGGATAGACAGACAGATGATAGGCAGGTAAATGTCTATATAGAGGTACATACACACACGTATGACAATGAGAAAAGTAAGAATTGATAACCACTGTAGTAACAGTGACCACACCTAGCAACCAGCTCTTGGTTTTTAAATGTCGTTCCCCGTGAAAACCAGGGCTCCTTGGGAGACATGGTTGCTTCCAGAGCTGGGGCAGGTAAAAATAACAAGAAAATGCCACCTTGGAACATTTTCTTGAGCCAGTATATAAGGAAGTGCTCGAAGACGGAGGTAGAAAAGTTATTTGGCAAGCGTAATCTGGTTTTAAAAAAGGCTAACACCTCCATGCCACTCCCTTCTTCCTGCCTTGATTGAGGATATGATGCCTGGAACCCCAGCAGACATCTTCACTACCGTGAGGAAAAGACCAAAAAACTCTCAGAGTCGCTGACCCTATCATCATCATTTGACCAGGCCAATGCTGGCAGCCATCCTCCTCCAGAATTCTTTATTTATTTTTTAAAAATAAAACCTTCTTGGGGCGCCTAGGTGGCTCAGTCGGTTAAGCGTCCGACTTCAGCCAGGTCACGATCTCGCGGTCTGTGAGTTCGAGCCCCACGTCGGGCTCTGGGCTGATGGCTCAGAGCCTGGAGCCTGTTTCGGATTCTGTGTCTCCCTCTCTCTCTGCCCCTCCCCTGTTCACGCTCTGTCTCTCTCTGTCTCAAAAATAAATAAACGTTAAAAAAAATTAAAAAAATAAAAAAATAAAACCTTCTTTGTCTAAAGTAACATTAACAACAAAATTAAAAAAAAATTGGTGTGTCATCAATGGATAATAAATCTAGTGGGTGAAAGTTTGTTGAGGAACCAGATATTTCATTAATTTCAAAGTCTTTTCCCATAAGGCACCATTGACAAGTGCAACATCCTAGCTCAGGCTGGACACCCGGCAGACACGATTTTAAACAGGCTAGCATAATCAGTAATGGAAGAAATCAACATTCTATGCCTCCGGATATATGCACTGAGAACGCTCTATCACTTCTGTAGTTCTTGTTCCAAGTGCCTAAATTGTGACAAAACAGTAGACAAACACAAATTGAGGAACTTTCTGCAAAATAGCCAGCTCATACTCTCCAAAAGCATCAAGGTCGTGACAGACAAAGATTGAAGAATTGTTACCGAATGAAGGACACTAAAATTAGAAAAATACAGTGTATGATCTGGAATAGATGCTGCAGCTTTAAAGGACCTTGTGGGAAGGGTGCCTGAGTGGCTCAGTCGGTTAGGCGTCCTACTCTTGGTTTTGGCTCAGGTCATGATCCCAGGGTTGTGGGATCGAGCCCTGTGTCGGGCTGTATATTGAGCATGGAGCCTGCTTAAGATTTTCTTTCCCCTTTGTCTCGTAGACACACACACACAAACAAACTTTTGGGACTTTATTGGAAACTTTGAATGGGATTTGGGAATTACATGGTACTCTTGGATCAGTATTAACTTCCTGCTTTTGAAGGTGGTACTGTGTTTATGTGGAAGAGTGTGCTTATACTTGAGAAATATACACTGAAAGGGTGCCTGGCTGGCTCAGTCCACAGAGCATGAGACTCTCAATCTTGGGGTCATGAATTTAAGCCCCACATTGGTGTAGAGATTACTGAAAAACAAAAACAAAAACAAAAACAAAAACAAAAAAACAGACGAGAAAAAATATATTAAAAAAAATAAAAGATTCAGAAATGTTAACAAGTGAAGAATCCGGGCAAATATTTGTAGGAGCTCTGTAACTTTCACTTCTGCAATTTTTATGTACATTTGACTTTTTTATTTTGAAGTAAACTCTGTGCCCAATGTGGGGCTTGAAGTCATGACCCCCCAGATCAAGAGCCACATGCTCTACAGACTGAGCCAGCAAGGTGCCCCAACGCTATTTTGAGATAAGAATTTTTAAAACCCCAGTGAATGGATTTAAACATTTGACCTGTTTTGATCAACTGCAACCATTCCCCTTATTGCAGGGCAAATAATCCCATTTGTGGCCAGTGAGAGCGTCTTAGTTGGGCTCCCACTGACATTGCCTCACTAGGTAATGTCTTTGATAATGCCTGTGCTTTCTGGTATACCAGAATTCATCTTGTACATTCCCTTCTTCAGACCCAGAATCAGATATTTGCCTAGGTTCCCTGGCTCATTCAATTGGAAATGGTATTTAGAGACCATGATCTGGGCTTAAGGAGTGCTCATTGCAACAAAGTCAGTCTTTGTTTCAGAACTCGTCAGTGGACAGAGCTAGGAAATGTATTTTTTTAATGTTATTTATTTATTTTGAGAGAGAGACAGAGACAGAGACAGAGAGACAGAGACAACGTGAGCAGAGGAGGGGCAGAGAGAAAGAATCCCAAGCAGGCTCCGAGCTATCAGTGCAGAGCCCCACGTGGGGCTTGATCTCGCCAACTGTGAGATCATGGTCTGAGCTGAAATCAAGAGTCGGGCAATCAACCGACCAAAGAAATGTTTGCTTTTTATATAGGTAAAATGTATCACAACACTCTCAATTCAAATTCAAGACTGCAGGGTTTTTATTAATGTAATCAACTTTATATTCCCTACTTCCTTCACTCCCTCTGAAAATCCCAGTCCTTGACATCAGTGTAAGTACTCCTTTGCTTTTGCTTTATCCCAAACTAAATATGCCACAAGTTCAGAATAACAATTGCAACATCACCATCAAAGATATAGTAGTGGTATGCAGACAAACAGTCCTGGTCTCAAGTCAGTAGGAGTTCATCTCTGTGTCATTTTGTACCAACTGGATACAGGGTTTCCTTTGTTTTATTTTTGTTTTGAGGGCTATCTTTACGCTTTAAATTTTGTTTTATAATTATGTAAAATTTTTACATGGTTGTAAAACCAAATATATAAGACAAGGTATATATTTTTTAAATTTTTTTAACGTTTCTTTATTTTTGAGACAGAGAGAGACAGAGCATGAACAGGGGAGGGACAGAGAGAGAGGGAGACACAGAATCTGAAACGGGCTCCAGGCTCTGAGCTGTCAGCACAGAGCCCAACGCGGGGCTCGAACTCACGAATCGCGAAATCGTGACCTGAGCCGAAGTCGGCGGCTCAACCGACTGAGCCACCCAGGCGCCCCCTATTTTTTAAGAGTCTAACTTGTATCTTTGTCCCCTTCCTCCTACCTCTTCCCTCTAACCTTTTAAACAATGTTACGATTTATCTTTTCACTTTTGAAAAATAAAGCCAGTACAACACAACAGAATGTAACTGAGGTCATTGAACTGGCCTGTGTATTCCATAAAGATAGGGCAGGAGAGGAAGGAAATACTGAGGCAATTCTCCATCCTACCTCAGCTCTTTGCATGTGCTTGAACTCTCTGCCTCGGATTCTTCCTCCCTCTCTTCTCCTAGTTCACCTCTACTCCTAGTTTTCAGTTCAATTGCTTCTTTTTCAAGGAAATATTTTTGGACTTTCCAAATTATTCCATGATATGCCCCCTCTCACTTGCCAGAATTTATTGCTTTTATAATTAATAATTAACTATACAATTGGTTGTTTAATTCCCTGGATTAAGGTCCGTGAAGGCAACAGTATTTGTCTTACTCAACCTTGTGTCCTCAGCGCCGAGGACAGTGCCTGGCACATAACAGGCCCTCTTATTGATGTTTATTGCATCCAGTGAATGAACCTATTGCATGAGGGAATGAATAAGTGAATGATGAGTACATGACCTTGGCCTTAGGCTCTTCCATGGCCCCCTATCCTCTCTGGGCTGCTTTCCCTCTGTAAAGTGTGATCATTCGGTTCCTCTCACTTTCTCTCCCAGAATTAATGAGAAACATAAGGGAGGTGATGAACACTTACAAATCCCTTTGCTATGAGTCACGTTCATTTCTGTAACGGTTTTATTTATTAGCTGGCACCGGTCGACGGCAGATGGCGCCACCAACCCCCTCGTGCCCCCTGCCAAGATGGGGCGGGGAGAGGGCTGGGGGTGGAGCCGGGACTGGGGGCGGAGCTAGGACGCAGCAGGGGCGGAGCCAGCAGCCGCGGCGCCGCGGGGCCTGTGCGGCCCAGGACGTCCCTGTCGCCCCCGGCC